ATACTCTGACTGGCTGCAAATTGAGAGCTCCCACAACCATTTCAGGTTTGATAACTCGCCAGAATGACTCACGGAGCTCAGAAACATGCTATATATGAAATAATAGTTTTATTGTTAAGAATACACATAGGTATCAAGACATTAAAAAACAGTAAAAAATTTAAAAAATAAAAGATTACATAGGGCAAGGTCTGGGAGGGAACACAGAGCTTCAGTGCCCTTCCCTGGAGGAGTCAGGGAGCATCACCCTCCCAGCACTTCACTGTATTCACCAACCGGGAAGCTCCTCCAAGCCTAGGTGTCCAGAGCTTTTACTGAGGTCTCATTATGAAGGCATGATTGATTAAACCCTTGGCCATATGACTGACCCCAACCTCTGGTTCTTCTCCCTGGATAGTGTCCCCAAATCCAAGAGCCATATGTTAAGTTTTCCCAGTCATTTTTAAATCCTCTTACTTGACTTGAGGTGAGAGAGAAGTGCTCTGGTCCCCCCTCCCATCCTGGGAGAGGGAGCACAGCATACTTGCAACTCTCTCCAAAACAGCGTGAATCAGCCAACACTGGGCAGACCAGTTTTGAAGAATTCCAATTGCAAGCCCTGCATGATGGTGTCTATTGCTAGTTTCTCAGCCACTTGGGCCTCTTCAGAACTTTTAAATTGCATTTTAGGTTCCATTTCACAATGCTTAACAAAATACAAAAAGGTCTCTGTTTTCATGGATTTTAGTGCCTATTAAGAGATAGAGATAGTAAATAACACAAACAAATACATAATTGGAAACATTGCTGAGTCTTATAAAGGAAAGATTCACTAGATGTGAGAGACTTTGGCGGCCTCAGTGAACCATGCCTTCAGGAATTTTGCCCTTGAGTAATCCCCTTTCACGTTGACACTAGGTTTGGCCTTACAATTAACTTTCACCACTGGGACATTCCAAACATAGTGTAAGCAGGAGTTTGATGAACTTGCACATAGGATTAGGCCTCTTGGAATGCACTTTCTTAGAATCCAGTTACCAGTCTGTGGAGGAAGCCGAAGCAGCCACATAAAGAGGTCCACATAAGAGTTAACCAAGGAGCCTGGCCAAAAACCCCCACTGGGCTCCCAGTAGGTGGCCAGCATGATATACCAGACTTGTGACCATGTAGCTATCTCAGCACCCCAACTGACACAACACCCGATGAACCAGAACCACCTGATTAACTGATATGGTTTGACACTGTGTCCCCACCCAAATCTGCCAATCTGAGATCCCCAATGTTGGGGAAGGGACCTGGTGGGGTATGATTGGATCACAAGGGCGAATTTCCCCCTTGCTGTTCTCGTAATAGTGAGTCCTCACGAGATCCAGTTGTTACACTCTCTCTATCCTGCTCCACAATGTGAAGATTGTTCCTGCTTCCCCTTCACCTCTGCCATGACTGTAAGTTTCCTGGCGCCTCCCCATCCATGCTTCCTGTACAGTTTGTGGAATTGTGAGCCAATTAAACCTCTTTTCTTGAAAAATTACCCAGTATCAGGTAGTTCTTTTAAGCAGTGTGAGACGGACTAATACATCAACCAACCAAAAGAATTATGAGAAATGATACCCTGTTAATATTTAAACCACTGGATTTTGGAGTGATTTGTAATGTAGCAATAAACAACAAAAACATAAGACTATGAGAACAAAAACAAAAGACCTACCTAATTTGGAAAATTGAAGAGGCTTTTCCAGAGGAATCAATAGTTTACATATAATCTGGAAGAAAAAAATATATGTTAACTTCCAAACAGATACCAGTGTCCATAATGGCCGTGTTTGAAGGGAAGGTGATGCAGTAAAAAAACAGAATGGATATTATTCATTTTCTTTTTGTTTGTTTGAGACGGAGTCTCGCTCTGTTACCCAGGTTGGAGTGCCATGGCACGATCTTGGCTCACTAAAACCTCCGCCCCCTGGATTCAAGTGATTCTCCTGCCTCAGCCTCTTGAGTAGCTGAGATTACAGACACCAACCACCATGCCCAGCTAATTTTTGTATTTTTAGTAGAGACAGGGTTTCACCATGTTAGTCAGGCTGGTCTTGAACTCCTGACCTCAAGCAATCCACCCACCTTGGCCTCCCAAAGTGATGGGATTACAGGTGTGGGCCACCACACTCGGCCTGAAAAACAGAATGGAGATTATTTTCTTGTGCATATTTGCCTAATTATAAAACAAGTTGAACACGATGGCTTATACCTGTAAGCACTTTAGGAAGGAGGCCAAGGCAAGAGGATCACTTGAGCCCAGGAGTTTGAGACCAGCAAGATAATGAGTCTCCATCTATATAAGAAAAAAGAATATTTTTTTTGTTAATATATATATTAAAAATATATCTATTACATATACATACATTAAAATATATTAAATATATATTAAAATATATAAGGAGAGAGAGGGAGAGAAGCGAATGTGTGCATACATTTATTTTATACAGCAACAGTATAGTTAAGAAGGAAATAAAAACCCAGAGCTAAAACTGATATGTCTATTCTTGCTTATTAATACAGACTTGCCATTAGAGCCATCTGTGACATATACACATTGTGCTGGGACCATCTGTAATGTTCCTAATCTAATGGCTTAAATGATGGCTCACACCCTCATTAGAAGATATTAGCACCTCAAAACACATTTGTTGGAAATAACAAGGTACTGAACCCTTCAGATGCTATCAAGTGGCTACACTGTAAACTAATGCACATTCTAGCAAGAACAAAGGGAACCAGACATTGAGCCCCTTCTGTGGATGAGAATATTTGACAGACTCATACATTCTCTCATTAATCTCAGTAATCTTAAGAGCAGGTATTATTTTTCCTTTTCTACTTATTAAAGAAAGTAAGGCTTTTAAAGCTTCATTAGCTTGCTTGATCACACAGCTCGAAAGTAGTAGAGCCAAGTTTTAAATCCCAGGCTCTCTGCCTCCAAAATCTGCATCTATAATAGCTGTTGTTGGTTGCCTTCCCTGCTGCAGCTTCCTTCTTTCTTCCAGACGTTTTTCAACACCCATATCCTCCCATCCAGCCAGTGAGCTACAAGGGTGGGTCTCTTGCCTACACAGTATTGTTTTTTTTTTTTTTTTTTTTGAGACACTCCTCTCTCTGTTGCCCAGGTTGGAGTGCAGTAGCATGATCTAAGCCTCCCAGGCTCAAGCAATTCTTGTGCCTCAGCCTCCCAAACAGCTCAGCTACAGGCGCATGCCACTATGCTCAGCTAACTTTGGAATTTTTTTGTAGAGACGGGGTTTAACCATGTTGCCCAGGCTGATGTCAAACTCCTGAGCTCAAGCAATCTGCCTGCCTCAGCCTCCCAAAGTGCTGGGATTACAGGTGTGAGCCACCACGTCTGGCCCTCCAGTAGTATTTTTTTCGCAGCAGGTGCAATTGGCACTTGGGGCTGACTAGTTCTTCCCTCTACAGGGCTTTCAGATGCATCTTAGGATGTTTAGCATCCCTGACCTCCACTTGCCATCATTCTAACAACTCAAAATGCCCAGCACACACTTGTACAGCAGTGCTCAGCCTAAGAAGGGCCAGTTCACACCAAATACTGCACCTCCTGTCAATGATGGGTTCAGCAAACTACTCAGCAACTGGTGAGCTGTCCCTTCAAGGGGATTTCCCTGTGATGTAGAAAGATTCATGAACAGGAAAGCAGTTTGGGCCAATGAGATGTAAGGGGAGGTCTGCTGGGCTGTTTTGCACCAGAAGCTTACATACTCTGAAGAAACAGCTTCTTGGCCCTGCAGGTTTTCACGTATGGTGATAAGACCCAGAACTCTTCTACCATGTCACTGCCACCTTTATAATGAAGCCACAACCTGGAGGCAAACAGATCTGAACAACTCTGAGAAAGGCAGCTAATACAACTGATCACGATGAATCTCCGGACTTTTCAGTTGAATGAACAAATTAAGTCACCTTTATTCTTTAAGCCAGTACAGTTAAACAATAAATCCTTAATGCTGGGCTTTCAGTTATTTGTGGAGGCAAATATCCTACCTGATATAACAACTTTTTTAAGTCATTAGGCACTACTGTCTTTACCTAGAGCACAGGACATGCCCATTTGGGCTAGTGGCTATGAAGGGGACAAAGGAATAGATTTCAATTTTGGAATTTGCCCAACTTTCTGCTCTCTTCAGTTTTTGTCTGTCTACCATGTTGCTCCCTACTCTAAGCAGAAGACATGTTCTTTTTCCAGTTGAGTGGATTCCTTTGCTTGTCCTCTCAGTCCCACCTTTGCCTATCCCCTCAGAGGTCTCTCTCCATAATGTATTCACCCTCTGTCTAGACTCTCCAGCCTTTCCCTTTCTACAACTCTTTCCCCAAAGCATGTGTACATCTCCGGACCTGCCCCTTGGTAACCAGCCCTCCCTCAGGCCATGCACTTCTTATCTGTGGCCCTTTGCTTTCACCCGAGATAGCCAAGCTCCTTAGAGGTGACCTTTTCATCTACTTCTCCACTTCCTCATGTTTGCATTCTCCTCTGCCAATTAATCATCAAACTACTGCTATCTGATTGATGCCACTAACTTCTCTAATGAAACTGCACTGGTAATATTCACTGATTAGTTCCTACATAATAAATCCAATAAGCATTTATCTTTATAATGTCTAACCTTTCTCCTAAATGTGTTAACCAATTCCTCCTTCAAAAATTCTCTATTGGGGCCAGGTGCAGTGGCTCATGACTATAATCACAGCACTTTGAGAGGCTGAGGCAGGCAGACTGCTTGGGCTCAGGGGTTTGAGACCAGCCTGGGCAACATAGTGAAAGCCCACCTCTACATAAAAATACAAAAATTAGATGGTACGGTGGCATGCGCCTGTAGTCTCAGCTACTTGGGAGGCTGAGGCAGGAGGATTACTTGAGTCCAGGGGACAGAGGTTGCAGTGAGCCAAGATCACACCACTGCACTCCAGCCTGGGCCACAGAGTGAGATTCTGTCTCAAAAAACAAACAAAAAAAATTCTCTTTTGGGGCACATATACTAAAATTGGAATGATACAGAGAAGGTTGCCATGGCCCCTATGCAAGGATGACATGTAAATTTGTGAATCATTCTATACTTTTGTAATAAATAATAAAAAGAGAAAAAAATTCTGTCTTTTTTGTGTTTGTGCTACCATCCTCTAATGCATGAGCTCTTAATCTGGGGTCCATAGACCACAGGAATATAAATAGAAAAAAATATATATTATTATTCACTGTGAAATTCAACATTTTCTGCAGTTATGACAGCTGGCAACCAACCATGGTAGTGTAGGCATGCCCATGTCTTTGTCATTAATAGAAATACAGATGTTTTTTATCATACAATACCACTGATGAGAATATCTTGTGATATTTATACTCATCCCTACTATTATAGTTATTAGACATCTTGTTAGATCTCCTTATTTAATTTGTTAATAAAGAAACATATAAAATATTCTAAAACAAATTTGTTTTTGTGCAATCACCTGATGGGCTCTTCCCGCCTATTGCACAGACAAAATCAATTCACCAAGACGGTGACACTGCAGTAGAGAAACAGTTTAATTTTCTACAAAGGAGAACTGAAGTTATCACTAAATCTGTCTCCCTAAAGTTTGGGAGGCTAGGGATTTTTATGGACAATTTGGTGGGCAGAGGGTTAGGGACTGGGTGCTGCTGAATGGTTGAGAATAAAATCATAGGCATGTGAAAACAGTCCTCATGCTCTGAGTCCTTCTCTGGGTGGGGCCACAGGACAAGCTTAGTCATGAGTCACGAGTCTGGGTGGGGTCAGTCTGAAGAACATTTCAAAAAAATCAATTTTCAAAGTTGGTCAAGGTGACTCATGCCTGTAATCCCAGCACTGTGGAAAGCCAAGGCATCTCTTGAACCCTAGAGTTTGAGACCAGCCTGGGCAAGATGGTGAGACCCTGTGCCGACAAAATAAAAAATATTAAAGTGTGGTGATGTGCACCTGTGGTCCCAGCTACTGAGGCAGGAGGATCTTTTGAGCCCGGGAGTTCAAGGCTGCAGTGAGCTGTGATCATACCACTGCACTCCAGCTTGGGTGATAGAGCTAGACCCTGTCTTTAAAAAAAAAAGTTAGGTTCTACAATAATGATAATCTTCTTCCTTCCTTCCATCCTTCCTTCCTTCTTTCTCTGTTTCTTTTCTTCCTTCTTTCTCTCTCTTTCCCTCCCTCTTCCCTCCCTCCCTCTCTCCTTCCCTCCCTCTCTCTCTCCCTTCCTTTTTTCCTTCCTTCCTTCTGTTTCCTTTCTTCCTTCTCTTTCTTTCCCTCCCTCTTTCTTCCCTCCCTCTTTCTTCCCTCCTCCCTCCCTCTCCTTCCCTCCTTCTCTCCCACCCTTCCTTCCTTCCTTCTGTTTCCTTTCTTTCTTCTCTCTTCCTTCCTTCCTTCTCTCTTTTTTCCTCCCTCCTTCCCTCCCTTCCTCCCTCCCTCCTTCCTTCTTTCCTTTTTTTCAAGAGATGAGGTCACACTATGTTGCCCAGGCTGGTCTCAAACTCCTGGGCTCAAGCAATCCTCCTGACTCAGCCTCCCAAAGTACTGGCATTACAGGTGTGAGCCACTGTGCCCTGCCAATGGTGATATAATCTATAGGAAATATTGGGACTAGTGACCTCTGGCCACATGACCCCTGAGCTGTAAGGGATTATGGAACTACACCTACATTTTAGCAGAGTTCAGGCCCTTCCCATAATCCTATTCTTATGGCTTTCCATTAGACTTACAAAGATGGTTTTTGGGTCCTGAGGAAGGAAAGGGTTCATTTTATGGAGGGACTATAATCATCCTTGCTTTTAAGTTAAACTATATACTTAAACTCTTCCCAAAGTTAGTTTGGCCTATGCCTAGGAATGACCAAGGACAGTGTGGAGGTTAGAAGCAAAATGGAGTCAACTATGTTAGATTTCTCTTACTGTCATAATCTTTGCAAAGGTGGTTTCATTTGCAACATTTGGATAAAAATTTCAATATAATTTAATTTCTCTGTAATCTTCTGTATTTTATTTTGTACCTTTAAAACCATTGTTCTGAGAAGGCACCAATGAGTTTCACCAGGCTAAAGAGTCTACAGCTGCAAGAAGCCTGTAATAAAACAAAACACTGCCTAAAGTTTCTGCTGTTCCCACTTTAATATATATATATATATTGAATTACTGCTTCTCAGTCCAGGTTTGAAGCTCATGCTACAAGGTCCACTACCCCTCTTTTTTTTTTTCAGTTTTTTTGGCTTCAAAACCACCTGTGATTGGTATTATAGTCATTGGGTTTTACGACTCACCTAAGAACTCGGAGATAAGTTTGTACTCTGAGCATTAATGTTAAATGTCAACATGTCATGATGCCAGACATCTTGTGAAGATAACATATCCCGAGTGCTTCCCATAATCTCAGCACTGCACAGTAATCCTATCACTTTGATATTCTTTTTCCCATTTTACAGATTAAGAAACTGAAACACAGATGGAATCAATGGCATGGCTAGGTCATATGGTCAGTAACTAATGAAGCTGGAGGCTTAATATACTACAAAATAAAATTATGGGAGTGACCTAAAGATCCAGCTTGGATCCCAGGGCCAGAACTCGATAGTAATTTAATTGAATTTGTTAAGGTATCTAAAGCGACTGTCATCACAAATGGGGTTGGCCAGCCTTAAACCCTCAAAAGAAGAAGGTCTCAGAGATAAAAAGCAGTATTCTCTATTAAAACATGATTCATGATTTAGATCTCAAGAACTTCAACCACAAAAATAATTTGTTTTAAACATGATTCATGGGAGTTTTTCATTCATCAAAATATTTGGTTCTTGGGCAAAGCCATTAGGCCAGGGTTATAAATGCCTGCAGAGGCCAAAAAGATTAATGGTGCTGTTCAGAGTGAGACAACAGGGTGTGGTTAGGGCTGATGAAGTAAGAGAGCGAATGAGCTGAATAAAGGCATTGGGATTGACGCTTTTCCCTAGAAAGGTCATCCCAAAAGTGAGATGGGTGACTCGTGTTCTCTTAGCTTAAGGTCACTAAACATTCCATATGCATTATCTTTACCCAGGAAAACAAAAAGCTAGTTGCACAAATTTTAAAATATCCCTGTCTCTGGGACAATGATTTCTCATTGCAATTTGACCTTCTGCTTTTAAAAATCAGACTCATAAACTAGGTTAATATAAGTCCATTCCTGAAAGATGGATTCACTCTTGATATACAGAGAAATCAGGTACCTAAGCCTGATTTACTATACATACCAGCTTGTGAGCTCTCTTGGGAGACACAATGTATCCTTGCTTTGTGAACACAAAGCCTACATCATTTTCTTGTGGAGGACAAATATGTTTTTCTTATTTGTTATATGCTGACGATTTTTAAATTTGTCTGTGGAGGTCACAACTCTTTGTTAGTCCCATAGAATCCAGCATCTATCACTACCACTTACTAATGTAATGACATAAGAAATTATTTGACCGGGCACAGTGGCTCACACCTGTAACCCAAGCACTTTGGAGGCCAAGGCGGGCGGATCACCTGAGGTCGGGAGTTCAAGACCAGCCTGACCAACATGGTGAAATCCCATCTTTAAAAAAAAAAAAAAGAAATTATTTAATCTCTTTAAACATCAGTCTGTCTATAAAATATTCAAAAATTTAAAAACCTGTATCAGGTTTGCTGTGAAAATTAGATGATTTAGTATTTTATTAAACATTTTTGATTGCATTAAATTTCTAGGAAATTTTAAGAATAACTAAGAGATTCAATAGATATACAGGTAAAGGACACAAGCATGTAATCTACAATAGAGGAACTACAAATATCTAGCAGACACTTGAAAAAACATTTGGCCCCCACAGTTATACCAGTTTATATAGTATTTCTATCTCGAGCCCAGGCCACTCCCCCAAGATTCAAATGTCCAATTGCTCATCTGACATCCCTTGGAAGTCTACTGGCATCTCAGTTCAACATGTCTGAAACAGAATCTTTGATTCACTCTCCTTTTTCCTACATACCTGGTCTACTGCTACCTCAATTAATTGCATTACTTTGTTCATCAGGCAAAATATGCAGGAATCATGCTTATATTTTTTCTCTTTCCAGTTCTTCCATACACAGTCTGTCAATGAGCTGAAACTAGTGAGGTCCTGGACTCTTGGGTGCTGCCCGGACCCACTCGAATGCCAGAACAGGAGTGACTTAAGCTCCTCAGGGAGCTAGGGTAAACAGATACCCTTTGTCTTGTTTCACATGCACACAAAAATCTTGCCCTTCTAGAAGTTCACCTCTCAAAACAATACCAGCCAAGTAGAAGAGGAAAAGAAGAGCAAGTATCTAGGGACCCCGATTTGCCTGGATACCCATCTGGGTGATTTGGGGTGGCCAACTTGAAACAGCTTTTTTTCCCCCAAGCCATTCTCTCCTGTTCTCAGCCAGCTTCCTGCAACCATGAGGTCAAAAAGTAAACCAAATATCTTTGTGCTTTGGCATTTGTGATGGGCAATGTACTCTAAAATGCAGGGTTCAGGGCAGGATCCCTTTCCTCTGAGTTTAAGAAAGGCATTGAGTGTTTTTTTTTTTTTTTTTTTGAGACAAGGTCTCGCTCTGTCACCCAGGCTAAAGTGAAGGGCAGGAACATGGCTCACTGCAGCCAGCCTCAATCTCCTGGGCTCAAGCAATCCTCCCACCTCAGCTTCCCATGTTGCTGGGACTATAAGCACATGCCATAGTGGCCTGCTAACTTTCTGTTTTTATAGAGACAAGGTCTCACTTTGTTGCCTAGGCTGATCTCAAACTCCTGGGCTTAAGCAATCCTCCCACCTCAGCTTCCCAAAGTCCTGGGATTACAGGCATGATGCACCACTGTACCTAGCTTTTATTAACTTTATCATTCATCTCTATTGCTTTTATTGCACATTCTGTTAACTCTTTTATGAACTCTTTGTTCTAATAAATAAACACATGAAGGTTTTTCATAAATAAATCAGGAGTCTACTAAAATAGTATATTCTAGCTGTGTGAGATTTTGGAAAATGTTTTCATTTATGTTTGAATGTTCTTTCCAAATCTTTGAAAATATGCATTCTGAG